CCATCCAGACGGTTTGCTCAAGACAGTACTCTATAACTCCCAAATCCCAGCTTGGCTCCGGTATGCTACCTCCCTCAAGCCCGGAGACCACACTGGTCCCAGAATCCTACACAAACCCCTTTGGAGCAGGGTGGCCTGCAAAATTAGCAATCTCCCCCTTGTTCCCACAGCCCCAGGGAGCCCTCCCGCTGCCACCAGCGTGCCGGGCAGAGAGTCCTTGGGCCCAATTCTTGAAGCACCCATTCCTATGCAAGGGGCATTTTGAGTCCCCTACCCCCACACCCCCAGCCTTCCCTTGGGACTTTAAACCCTGCTAAGACAGGGGTTGAGGGGTGGGGTGGGATCTGGTAGGGGCAGGACAAAGGGCTAGGGGACTCCAGACATCAGGTGAGGACTCCTAATACTGCCAAAGGGTTTAACTTTAAACAGCCCCTATTATATCCCCCCATCCCTCAAAAGAGACAAATGGGCGGGGAGAGGGGGCAAGAGTCCTTTTTGAGGGCACCAACCACCTCCCACTGTCTCCGACTGCTCCCCAGTTTCCCACACGTATCCAGCTTTTTAGTTAAGCTTTTTTTTTTTTTTAAAGGTACCATCGTTATAAATGTCTACACAATGTTGGGGAAAAAAAGCTGGCCAGGGAACTAGCTTGTGGGAACTTTCTACCAGGGTCTACTGTCCCAACTCTTAAGTCCTACCTGACAGGAGGGTTCTTATTCATGAACATTTCAATGGCACGTTCATCTTCAGGGTCCACAACTACCTCTGCTTGGTGGCCGACCCCAGTCATTTTGGCTGCCTTCTCCAGGGTGGGCCATTCCTCATCCTCATCATCATCCTCGGATCCATCCTGGGGCACGTCCAGCCCTAAAGAGGGAAGACAGAATCGTAAGTATGGAGGACAGGCCCTTTTGAGTTAGTTCACTGCCATGTACTGCACGCCCAGGGTGTTGGAGATGCCGCCCAGGGTGTCGGAGATGCAGCCCAGGGTGTCGGAGATGCAGCCCAGGGTGTCGGAGATGCAGCCCAGGGTGTCGGAGATGCCACCCAGGGTGTCGGAGATGCAGCCCAGGGTGTCGGAGATGCAGCCCAGGGTGTCGGAGATGCAGCCCAGGGTGTTGGAGATGCCACCCAGGGTGTCGGAGATGCCACCCAGGGTGTCGGAGATACACACGGGCACAAGGAAGGAACAGAGAGTTACAAACTATCTTTCTGTCCCCAGAGACTTGCAATCTTGAGAGATAAAGTACAACACATGGAACAGAGTGATGCCAGGAAAGAGGATCCGTCCTACAGTACACACATGTAACAGCTTAGTCCAGGTAACCTCAAAAGTATCCAGTTCAAACCCTACAGTACACACACATGTAACAGCTTAGTCCAGGTAACCTCAAAAGTATCCAGTTCAAACCCGATTCACTGTATCCAGTTCAAACCCGGACAGAAAAGCTGACTGCCCATAGTCCCCACTACCTTTGCCTTCTTCCCCACTACCGCTGCTTGCACAACAGAGCTGCGCCATGTGCTAAAACTAAAACCATGGTAGAGGCAGGGTGCACCACAAGCACTTAGATTAGTGCAGAGGGTGATGAGGCTTTGGATGGGCAATTTGGGAAAAAGTGTGTCTCTCATATCCTAGAAAAGCAATATTATTACTGTTGGGCATTAAGGAGCCAGAGCCTGAAATAGGACCATACGACCAGGACCAGGTTGGGGCCAACCTGGAAGGCCCCAAGGCTGGGCAGGGGTATCTGTTCTCTAATCAGCTAATATGCATAAACTTACTGACTTGTAGCAGCAGGCTTTCTTGAACTTCCAGCCCCCAAATTATGGCATAGAGACTTATTATTGATTATTAATGTTTGGCCTTAGTTTTAGGCTTGTTTTTGTTTAGTTTTTTTTTTTTTTTTTAATCAACTCATTTCTGTTAACCTATGTGCTGCCCAAGCCCCTGGGAGAGTCTAACAAACCAAAGGAGTTGAAATATTACATAACAACAGGTCACTTGCAACAGAACTGGACAAAGGATATACACAGCTCAGGAGGGATTTTTAAAAATTGTTTTTGATTTACATATACTGTTTTATGTGTATGCCCGTGAGTCACAGGTGTGCCAGGTGCTCACAGAGGTCAGAAGAGGGCACCTGATCCCTTGGAATTGGAATATAGCTAGCGGTGGTCTGCCACATGAGTACCTGGAATCAAACTCTGGTCTTCTGAAGGACCAAGGGCTTTTACTGTTTGTTTTGTGTTTTTCAAGACAGGGTTTCTCTGTGTAGCTCTGGCTGACTGGAGCTCACTGTGTAGACCAGGCTGACCTCGAACTTGGAGATCTACCTGCTTCCACCTCCCAAGTGCGGGGATTAAAGGTGTTCGCCAACACTGGCCAGCTAAGAAAAAGCATTCTTAAGAGCTGAGGGCAATGATTTCGTTTTACCTCTGCTCTCTACACAGATCATGGCATGCACACAAAATAAATGTTAAAAGAAACAAAAAATAAGTGTCATGAAACAAATAGGGCAGAGGTGGATGTTGACATTTGTGAGGTAGGTATTTTAGTGCGTGCGTGCGTGTGTGCGCACTTGCATCATGTGTGCAGCAGAGGTGAATCTTGAGTGTTAATCCTCAGGATCTGCTGACCTTTTTTTTTTTTTTTTTTTTTTTTTTTTTAAAGACACGTTCTGGCTGGGACATGGGGTTAGCTGAGCTCAGTGGGCCCAGGAGATCTGTCTTCAACTCCCTTGCTCTGGGCTTACAAACTGCTTTAAGTCAGGGCCTCATGCTTTCAAAGTATATATTTCACTAACTGAATTATCACCTCCCTAGCTTGTGGTCAGACTGTCAGCAGAGGTGGACCTCTAGCTGTTGAATCGACCACAGAGGTTATAGAACACAAATTCCGATGCTCTTGCAGTGATTCAGGGGAGTGACTGTGGCCCTTAAACAGGAGGATGCTCCAAGCTAAGGAAAGTGATAGGGTTCTGGATACATCCTCAACACAAAATCATCAGGGTTTACTGACAAATTGGATGTAGAAAGAGGCGCATTGAGCAAGGGGAGGTTAATGTGCTAACAGACTCCATGGAGGACGCAGAGAGGTATCAGGTAGACATGTGGACAGAAGGATGCTAGTTTGTTGAAAGAGCTATGTCTGGGAGAAAAAGCTGGGTGTAGTCATCGGAAAGATGGCTTCTAACTGGAATCTGACAGCTACACAGGAGGACCTAAAGCTCAGGCCTGTCTTGGTCACAGAGCAAGTTCAAGTCCAGCATGAGCAACTTAAGGAGACACAGTATCATATTTAAAAAAAAAAAAAAAAAAGTTTAAAGGGCAGGTGTGGTGTCAAACATCCATACTGCCATCACTTGGAAAAACAGAGGCAAAATCAGCAGTTCAAGGTCAGGCTCACATACACGTGGAGTTTGAGGCCATCCTGGGCATGAGACCCTACCTCAAAACACCTTAAAAAAAAAAAAAAAAAAAAAAAAAGTAAAGTTACTATGTCCCTAAAGCTATATTCAATCATCTCAATAACAAGTAAGAATGCAAAACTAAGCAACTGGAGGTGAACATTTCCACCCTAATGAGAGAAATATCAAGCATTTTCCCACTCATCTCTGCCACCCACCCCCACGTGATTCTAAGCTGTTTTTTCCTCCTCCGCTAGTGGAACATTTCCCATATGCTTTTCATATCTTTGTCAGAGGCATGAAACTTGGGGTGCCTGTCCTGTAGGATTACTGGCAGTTTTTTTGGTTGTTTGTTTGTTTGTTTTGAATAGGAATATATTCACTTTCTTTTACTCTCTTGCCAGACAAGGCTATACCACGTAGCTCAGGCTGATCTGGATCTTATTATGTAGCTCACTTGGACCTTCTTCTAGCTTAGCTTCTCGAGTGCTGAAATTACAGGCGAGCACCGCCGCTCCTGGCTGGAATATATTACTCTATTTAATGTTCTCTCCTTTGGGGTAGACTTCCGATGCTAAAAGCAGGGACGAGTACATTGTTTATTTCGGTGTCAGAACTGCCTAAACTCTTAGCACAGTTAAAGGCATTACACAGGTAGCACACAAATACTTCACAAGCCCAGAGAATAAATATCAGAACTTGGTGTGAGTGATCACTTCCTGTTGGAACTCTGAGGTTCCGGAAGCTCTGAGCTGAAGTGAAGGACCACGCGGGAAAGAAAAACTGCCCCTTCTTTGTAATTCCACACCAGTATCCGGATGGACTGCGTTTGCTCGGCCCAACCCACCACTCCACCCCTTGTCACTCACCCAGCCGCGTGGCGCGTTCTCGCGGTTTCGCAGGCTGGTCTCCAGTCCCGTGTTCAGTCTCGAGCTCCTCTTGCTGCTGCCTGGCTTGCTGCAAAATCCGTCTGCTCAACCGGGGTCCCACATACTCTTCCTCCTCTTCGACCCCGCGTCCCCGCCGTTTGTCTCGGGTCCCCGCGCGCACTGCATTCCCAGCCAGAATCTGCTCGGCCAGAGGTGCATGCCTCTCCTGATTCCCGGCCCCACGGGCCACCTTGAATTTGGGCATTTTTCTCGAAAAACTTACCCACAAGATTTACACGTGGGAAGCCGGCTGAGACACTAGGACTGCGCTTGCGCCTTGTGTTCCGGTTTCCAAGAGGTCACTGACAGTGCACAGCGCCTCCCAGCGTCCGGAGGCCGGAAGTGCCTCCTATACCGCCACCTCTCGAAATGCTCCGGGGACGGGAGCTGGACTCCCCAAATCCCCAGGTGATCTCATTGGATGGAAGCGGCGCATGTGCGAGTCACCTTTTCCAGAATTCATGATCGTAGCCTAAGGAGTCCTGTCAAAGCAAAGCGCGCCTTGGGGGCGGAGCCTGCCTGATGACGTAAGGTGTGTCATCGCCGGAGCGTCCGGACACGCCCCCTTCCTGTGTGCGCGCCGCTCTGGCGCTCAGATTCTGCGTATTTCCCGAGCCCGTTCTCCTCCTGCATCCTGCTTTGGGTGGCTACGCCGCCTGTGGGCCTCTGGATTCTCCCGAGTTCGTGTGTTTGAAGTGCCACTTTTTTACCCTGCGCCATGGGAGTGACTTGGTAGGCCTGCAGGGGCTCTTGGGGGATGGAGGTTGGGGTCGTGAAGGTCCCGGGAGGGGGATCGGGACCGAGGTTGTGGGTTCCTCGCGGCTGACAAAAGATGTCCTCGGGTCTTGGAGCTAGGAACGTGGTGCTTCTTCTTCCCAGACACATTCCTTTGGCCCAGCGAACGCTTCTTTCCAAGAACCTGCCAGGAGTTGTACCTTCTGGTTCTTGGTACTTTTTTTCTGTACGTGAGGCCATAGTATTGTCGTGAGTAGGCACTAAAAGTTGGGAGTAGGGTTTCTGCACTAGGAATTATTTGCAGGCAACGATTTGACAAAAGGGGGGGGGCTCTAGGAGAAAGTGACTTTTACATTTTTCTTGCAGTTATAACAGCCTGGCTTTAACTTGGTCACTTTAAGATGTTGGTCTAATTGTCAGAGGGAGGGAAAGGGAGTTGATGGAGGCCGAGGTTTCAGGTATATTAACTATTCAGCAACCACTTCCTACACGTTTGAGTCAGTTTTGATTGAATTTTTCTCTCAAACATGTTTTAAATTTCACTTGGAAAAAGAGGTGGGTGGTAACGTCTGGACACCGCGCTTTTCTGGGCATTAATTCCGAAGTATTAGGTTTCAGCATGTTAAAGAATCTTGGTATTGGTGTGCATCTCCCCAGCTAGAGAGTCCTGGCGGCTAGGGTGCCTGAAGTCACTGGCCACAGGTTTGTTCTGAATAAGGTGTGTGTGGCAAGTCCTTCAGCTAGCCCAGGCTCTTGCGGACATTATAGTGACTGCTGTACGTGCGAGCAGTTGACACGAGGAGCCTTATCTCAACCTCATCTGGGCTGCCCACCACCTGCCTCTGGCCCCTGCATCTTGGGATCACAGGAGTGCTCCATCAGTTTCTGCCCGCCTTGGGTTCATTGTACAGAGAAAAGGGTTCCCTGCTTACTAGTATCCATTCAACTCTCTGAGTCCCAGAGTTTCTGTCACAGTGGCAGTTTAGTGACTTCTGTTTCATATATTGCTTATTGGTGCTTTTTTTTTTCATATAGAGAACAGTTTTTAGTGACAGCACGGTCCTCCCTTAATAGATTTATCTAACTGATTGATTGTAAAGTAAGTCAGGGTTTTGTAAAAATACAGCAGTTTGGGAAACGACTTGACTTTTTCACGCATTTAACTATCATCGGTGTTATGATTTATTCACTGTGATTATGTAATGGGTCTTAGCCAAGTGTGTTTCCGTAATCCCAGCGAGTGGGAGGCTGAGCAGCAGGAGGCTAGGGCTAATGTAGTGACTTTCAGATCAGCAATGGCTACAGTGAGTTCCCAATCTCCACCAAACCTCTTTAAAAACTTTCGAGCAGATTGCTGCCTGGGCAGTCATTGTGGCACACGTCTTTAATCCCAGTACTTAGGAAGCAGAAGCAGACAGATTTCTGAGTCAAAGGCCAGTCTTGACCCTGGTCTGCAAATCTGAGTTTCAGGGTAGCCAGGGCTACACAGAGCAGTCTTGTCCCAAAAAACCAACTAAGGAAATATAATATAAAAAATATTAGCGGACCATGACATCCCTAGAGGCAATGTAGGAGAATGGTTAAAGAGTACAGTTGAGACACTCGGGAGGCGGAGGCAGGCGCATCTCTGTGAGTTCAAGGCCTGCCTGGTCTACAGAGGGAGGTTCCAGGACAGCTGGGTCTACACCAAGAAACCCTGCTCAAAAATAAATAAATAAATAAATAAATAAATAAATAAAAATAGCAGAGAAGGAGCCGGGTTGCATGTCTCTGAATCCTGACTGTACCATCCATCAACTGTATGACCTTGTGCAGATTGCTTAGCTTTTGTATTTCAATTTCCCCATTAGAAGATTCAGTGTATCCATTTGAAGGGGCACACCTTTGATCCCAGCACTTGGGAGGCAGAGGCGGGAGGATCTCTGAGTTCAAGGCCTGCCTGGTCTACATAGTGAGTTCCACGACAACTGGAACTATATAGTGAGACTCTGTCTCGCAAAAAAAAAAAAAAAAAAAAAAAAAAATCTGAAGGCTTTCAGATCTTGCACATAGCTGGCGCGTGACAGTAATTGCCTGCCACTCCATAAGGTGGGAACCTGGAAAAGAATTGAAGTCCTTGAAACGACTATTGTGTCTCTTCTTGTAGGCTTATACACTCAAGGGATGCTTTCTCTTTGTTTTTAGCGCCGTTAAATGGAACTCTCATAGTGGGGGGAGTTCTGCCCACAATGTCCAGAACATTGTCCTCCAGCCTCCTGGGGCGCATTACCTGACAAAAATAGCTTATGATAGGGTTTATTTTGGCTCACTATTTGAGCCAAAAATAGCATGAGTTGGCTGGTTGCATATAGTCAGGAGGTAGGTGTGTGTGTGTGTGTGTCACTCTTCTGTTAGTTAAATAAGGGTCTCACAAACAGGGTCAGGACTTGTTAAAGAAGTAGGTCTTCGCAGAGTGTACCGCTATAATTCCAGCACTTGAGACCACGACTGCTAAAAGAGTGAAGTCAGCTCGGTCTGATGTAGTGAATTCCAGATCAGCTTTGGCTGCACTGTGAGACCCTGTCTCCAACACATAGTCAGTGACTCTAGGTACAACCCAGTGCTACTGAATGTGTGCAGTGTGTCCCACCTAGAATCAACACGCGCCTTACTTGGGAAAGCTGATGTGAAAGAAAGCTTAACACCCCCGTGTGAGACACTTGAGACCTGTGCTCTGCCTCTTAGAGGAACTCTTGCAGACGGTGGGCCTCTTGCTCTCTCAGTTTAAGGGGCAGGAACCAGAGTTAGTGCTGTCTAAAGTAATTCCTAGCCCCGTTGATCTGCTAACTGTTTGAGAATGAGTGGCTCAGCCAGAGCACGTGGTCTCTGGACACTGCTGATTTGGTGTTCTGTTTTTCAGTGTGTCCCAGATGCCTGTGGCTGAGGGCAAGAGTGTCCAGCAGACGGTGGAGCTCCTCACCAGGAAATTGGAGATGCTTGGGGCAGAGAAACAAGGAACATTTTGTGTAGACTGTGAGACTTACCACACAGCTGCCTCCACTCTGGGCAGCCAAGGTCAGTAGATGATTGTGAGCAGATGGTCGGACGCTGGCTTGGAGTCCCACACATATTCAGTCATTGGTGTCTTTATGGTGGGCGGATTGCAGTTTGAACCTATGTGTTTAACTACATTTTTGTTTTCAGTCGTGTGTGTATGTGTGTATGCTCCAGAGCATGTGCACGCCGGTGCAGGTACTGTCGAGGCGAGAGGTGTGAGACCCTCTGGAGCTAGAGCTACAGGTGCTTATGGGTACTGGGAACTGGGTTCAAGACCAACTTGGGCTAGAGAGTGAGAACCTTTCTTCTTGGGAAACAAAAATTGTGTACATCCACCACAAGTGCTTTCTTTATTAAAGAGTAGTGTTGGGCTGAGGTGATGGCTCATCAGTTGAGGGCACTGGCTGCTCTTCTAGAGAACCAGGTTTGATTCTCAATACCCACATGACAACTTACAACTTTTGTAACTCCAGTCCTAGGGGAGCCAATGCCCAGTGCCCTCTGTGGACACTTGGTGTGCAAGTAGTGTGCCAACATACATGAATAGCAAAAACAGTTGTACACATAAAAACAAAGATATTAAAAGCAGTATCCTAAGAGTTGATGCTATAGCTCAGTGAGTTGCCTTTAAAAATTTCAGGGCAGTGCAACTTCATGCAATGTGAATCAGATATGTGATTACAGGATGTAGACCTGAGAACAGAGTAAGATCAGCTGACTCTGAGGGCTGACATGCTACTAACTGAATTTGAGAGAGATGAAAGGTGTAAATTGGCAGTACAGACAGCTGGCTTGGTGCAGAGCCTGCTAAGTTCGGCAGGTGGCAGCAGAGAGGCCAGTGCAATACAGGGAAGCTTGAGCTCCCCAACTGCTGCCCTCCCCTCACTCCATCACTAACTTTAAAAAAAGATTCGTTTGTTGTGTATACAGTGTCCTGCCTGCATGCATTCCTGCACACTTGAAGAAGACATCAGATCCCATTATAGATGGTAGTGAACCACCATGTGGTTGCTGAGAATTGAACTCAGGTCCTCTGGAAGAACAGGCAGCACTCTTAACCTCTGAGCCATCTCTCCAGCCCCCATCACTAACTTTTTAAATAAAGGATTTGTTTTATTATTTGGTTGTTTGGTTTTTGTAACTGGGTCTTACTGTGTAGCCCTGGCTATTCTGGAATTCACACCGTAGACCAGGGTGGCCTTGAACCCACAAAGATCATCTGCCTGCCTCTGCTTCCCACATGCTGAAATTAAACAAGCACACCACTATACCCAGTTTTATTTTATTGTGGAGCTGGATGCCTGTAGAGGCCAGCAGGGAGTCGAGGATCCCTTGGAGCTGAAGTTGCAGGCACTTGCAGGCAGCCCAATGTGGGTGTGGGATCTGAACTCTAGTCTTCTGACAGAACTACTGTGGTTCAGAACCATTGAGCCATCTTGACAGCTTCCTGTTACTCTTATCCCTGCGAGAGTACCAATTTTCCTGCCCTGTGCCCTCCTTTAAGTCGTTTTTCCTTTGATCTATTCTTATGCCAAAGTCTTAGACTTCCGGTCCCTTTCAGGTAATGACTCTTTAAATTTTTATTTTGTATTAATTAGTTAGGTGTTTGAAATGAGGCTTTCTGTAGCTCAGGCTAGCTTTGAACCTGCTTTGTAGCTTAGTGTTTCTGATCCTTCTGCTTCTACCTCTCTAGTGCTAGGATCACCACATCCAGTTTATGTGGTTCTGGAAATAGAACCCAGGTGTTCATGCGCTCATGCGAGCGCGCGCACACACACACACACACACACACACACACACACACACACACACTTAGCCTTTTATGTGTTTTGTTTTTTTTTTTAAGACAGGGCTTCTCTGTGTAACAGCCCTAGCTGTCCTGGAACTAGCTCTGTAGACCAGGCTGGTCTCAAACTCACAGAGATCTGCCTGCCTCTGCCTCCCAAGTGCAGGGATTAAAGGCATATGTCACCATTGACCAGCTAACCAGACCCTTTTTATTCATCTGTTTTGTGTGTGTGTGTGTGTGTACTTGTGTACATGTGTGCATGGTTGTGTTTTCCATGGCATGGGTATGAAGTTCAAAAATAGCTTTCTGGGATCTGTACTTTCTTCCAAATACAATATCAGACTCAAATATATCAGGCTTAGCAGCAGGCACCTTTACCTGCTGACCTATGACTAACCCTTATTTGTGTGTGTGTTTTTGGGGTGTGTGTGTGGGGAGCCGGGTATGGCCTTGAGTGTGGGTAGAAGAGCTTTTACATGTCTGCCACTGTCCATCTATCTCTTCTCCCAATGCTGTGGTCACAGGCATGTACAGCCTTCCCCAGGCTTTTTACCTGGGTGCTGGGGATTAGAATTTAGGCTCTCACTGAGCTATCATCCCAGCCCCTACTCCCATTTTAAAAAGCAGATTTGTGCATCTATTTATCTATATTATAGCTAGTGAGGCTCTCTTACCATCGTATGGGTCCCATGGATCAAACTCAGGTTGTCAGACTTGGCAGCAAGAGCCTTAACTTATTGTGTTATCTTCCTGGACCTGATTTATTGTTTTCAGTCAGGGTCTTTCTGTGTAGCCCAGGCTGGCCTCAAACTTGAGGCCATTATACTGCCTAGGCCCCTTGAATACACATGAGCTGCAGGGTGTGTTTATTTAGACACTAGGGCTCCTTTGTAGCTCTCCCCAGTCCCAACCTCAGCCCCTCCAGTGCTAGTGTTACAGGCTTGAGCCACTTTTGTTTTATGTTGTGGAGTTCTGACCCTCTTTGAAGAAACTTTTTTTCTTTTTTCTTTTTTTTGGGGGGAGAAGGGGTTTTGATAAGCAGTGTAGCAGGTAAAAGTGCTTGCCACTGAGTTTGACACTTTTAGTTTATCCCCAGGACCTACATGGTGGAAGGAGAGAACAGATTCTCCCAAGTGTCCTCCTCTTAATCTTACACGTGCCATGATACACATGTGCCCCTGCCCCAAACATAAATAAAGGTAAATTAAAAAAGTAAATTGGGGGGGATAGAGAGATGGCCTTGTTGGTAACCTTCTTACCTTGCAAGCATGAGAGTTTGAGTTTGGATCCTTAGGATCCACTTTAAAAGTTGGGTGCAAGCCAGGCATGGTAGCTTAATCCCATGGAAGACAGGTGGATCTCTCTGAGTTTTAGGCCAGCCTGGTCTGCAGAGTGGATTCTAGACTATACAGAGAAACATAGTTATTATTAATACCCTGTCTTTGAAGAAAAAGAGTCTAGAAAAGCAGTAGAGTCAGTGAGTGGGCCGTTCGGTGGAGAGCACTAACCTAGCGTGTGCAAGACTCTGGGATCTGTCTCTGGCACCGCACAAGAAGTGACAAGGAAATCAAGCCAGCTTTGGTAGCACGCTCTTGTAAGCCCGGCATTGGGGAGTCACAGTCACATTCCAGGTTTTCCTGGGTTATAAAGCAAGACCCCGTTCCAAGAAAACCAAACCAGCTGGGTGGGAGATAGAGGCAGGGGAATCCCTGTGAGTCCCAGGAGTTCTGGCACAGCCAGGGCTATACAGATAAGCCCTGTCTCTAAAAACAAAGAAGGGGGAGGGGGTGGCTGGAGAGATGGTTCAACCATTAAGAGCTCTGGCTGCTCTTCCAGAGGATCTGGTGTGATGACATCTCGCTTGTACAAATAAAGCCTGTCTGAAGGTCAGAGAATGGAGCTTGCCACTAGCTGACCATGGAGGCCTACACAGGCAGACAGGAAGTGAGACAGCTGGGCAGAAACAGGAGATAAGCAGAGGAAAACTCAAAACCAGGCACCCACATGGCAGCTCACACTTGTCGGTAACTCCAGTTCCAAGGCTTCTGACACCCTCATACACATACACACAGGCAAAACACCAGCGAACATAAAATAAAAATAAACTTTAAAAAAGAAAGAAAAAAAAAAAATAAACCAAACCAAATCTAACCAACTGGGACAACAGTACATCCTAAGGAAACTCACTTGACAGAGACTGGAAAGGGACTGAGAGGCACAGCTTAGGGTCCTAGAGGCCAAGTCCCTTCATGGTACACTTGCTTTCCTAGCTGTCCACTCACATTTGCAAACAACTACCAGCTTTTTAAGGCATGGCAGAAAAAACTTAGCTCTGCTTGGCCTATGGTGCTAGCCTAATGTTCACAGGTTTCCTAATCAAAGCCTCCATAAGACCATTTGGATTTCGAAGGAGGCATCAGCTGGGGGCCAGAGAAATAGATCAGATCAGATGCTGTTCCTTCTGTTTTAGTTTTACTTCTATGTTTGAGGTTTTGGGGGGTGGAACTTAGGGCTAGGCCAGTACTTATTGCCAAGCAACACCACCAGCCTTTAGTTTTATTTATTACAGATGATAATGTAGAAGCGAGTCTGTGTATGGATTATTAATCATCATGAGAAAGTAGCTACCTGTGAACTCACCACACAACTGTTCTCAGCATCCCGAGAATCCCATGGTGTTCTTCAGGTGTGTTTAGTCCCTGTTCCGTCCCTGGCTTTTCCAGATGCCTGGCTTCTCTGGAAAAGGGTAGCATTTAAGGATCCTTTCCCTTCTCAGACTGCCAGGGTACTAACTGCCAGCCGGTCTTGTTTGCTGCACTTGACCTACCCTGGGGCATGTTGGCAAGCGTCCTGATCATGAGTGGGCCATCTGTCCCTTGCAGGCCAGGCTGGGAAGCTGATGTACGTGATGCATAACTCAGAGCACCCCCCTGAGCTGCTTTGCTCTCTTTGAGAATGGGCCTTGCCTTATCGCTGACACCAACTTCGATGTGCTCATGCTGAAGCTCAAGGGCTTTTTCCAGAGTGCCAAGGCCAGCAAGATTGAGACCCGGGGTACTCGCTACCAGTACTGTGACTTCCTGGTGAAGGTGGGCACAGTCACAATGGGGCCCAGTGCCCGTGGCATCTCTGTGGAGGTAAGACCTTGGTGAGGACAAGCAGAATATGCTGGAAGTTTTCCCAGCCCTACTTAGTATCTCTTCTGCCTCTACTACAGGGATCTTTTGTTGGGGGTCAGGAGGCAGACTCATGTCTCAGGCCTTGAACTTACTGTGTAGCCAAGGATGATAAATTTATGGCCCTCCTGCTTGGACCCCCAAGCACTGAGGTCACAAGGGTGTACCGATATACCCAGCCTCCTTCTATATGTCGTTTGTTTAAGATAGTCTCATTCGGCTTGAACTCTGGGCCTTCACCTCCGAAGTTCCAGGGTTACAGGTGTTTTTCACCATGTGTTTGTTTTTTTGTTTTGTTTTGTTTTGGTTTTTATCCTGAAGATGCAGCACAGGCTTGAGAGGGAGTGGGGGGAGATGGGGGGGGGTCTTAGTCTAGCGTGGCTATGAATCCCTGTAATCCTTCTTAGCCTACAAAGTGCTGGGATTATAGGAGTGAGCCAGCATGCCTGTTTCCCTAAGAGATTTTTAGGTGTATTTTTTATTTGTGTGTATGGGTATTTTGCCTGTGTGTGTCTGTGTGCCACATGTGTTCAGTGCCCACAGCGGCCAGAAGAGGGCACCTGATTGATGCCCTGGAATTGGAGTCAGACTTTTTTAAGTTGTTAGTCACCACAGGTGCTAGGAGCCAACTCCAGTCCCTAGAGCGCCAAGTGATGGCAGCTGTTGAGCGCCTCCCAGCACCCCTCCAGGATTCTTTTGTCTTTTCTTAGCCATTCAGTCTCTGGCTTGGCATTGAAGTGGATTCACATCAAGTCAAAAGCTTAGAGAGGCTTGCTTGCTGGAAAGCTGAAGGCATGCATAGTCCAGGAAAGCAGAGGAGTAAGGATGTAGACACCCCAACCACCCTTCCCAAGAAGGGCGTTCTGAGGGGTGTTTGGGAGTGGGATGTCAGTCATGTGCCTGTGTACCCTTTCTCAGTGTGTTATGAGAGGCCTCCAGAGCTGTGAAACAAAACATATTATACCTTTCCTTTTAGCATTTGTCAGTTTTCATGGTGGACAAGAATATGCAAATGAGATGCCTTCATCTAGTTGTTTTTTAGTCAAAAATATTGCTACGTTTGTTTATTGTTGGTGTAGCTGTATATATGCACAGTGCCTGTGAGATCAGAGCAATTAGTTCTTTCTTCCTACCATGTGGGCCCTGGGGATTGAACTTAGGTCATCGGGCTTGGTGGCAAGCTTCTTTATTGGCTGATAGCCTTCATCTTTGAACCTAAATAGGTAAGGATTGAAAGTGGAATGTGGGGAATATGGTGGTAGGTAGTTATAGAAGTGAAAGCCCAAAGCCTATCATGTGTCCAGTAGTAACTGAGATTTAAAAAAGCAAGGTAAGACAGATAAGCTTGCAGGCAGTGGTGGCATACACCTTTAATCCCAGCACTCAGGAGGTAGAGGCTGGTGAATTCCTTGAGTTCTAGGCCAGCCTGATCTACAGAGCAAGTTCCAGGACAGCCAGGACTGCACAGAGAAACCCTGTTTCAAAAACAACAACCCCCTCCAAAAAAAAAAAAAAAAAAAAAAAAAAAAAAGAGAAGAGGGAAGGAAATGCCCTGGCTTAGGGATTGAGGGGTTCAGGCTGTTGAGAGGCCTGCTGAGTGTAGTTGTGACTTCCTTGTAAAGCAGTGTAAGGAATAAGGAGTCCCAAGGCTGGGAGAGCTGGTACATGCCTCCTGTCTCCGTACTTATGAGGTGGAGGCCAGAGGGTTCTGAGTTTGAGGCCAGCTTGAGCTGCAGTTAGATCCTGTCACAAAGTAAAAACCAGAGGAAAGTGGGTCTGGGACGCATCCTAGGTTACTTCACAAAAGGACCAAATGGCAGTTGTTGTTTTTAAGGAACCTCCAGGGACAAGATTGTCTAAGTCTGTTCAGTTGTGACTCTCAGTGGTGCAGTGGCAGAGGGAGGGAGAGAAACAAGCCTCACCCTTGTCCTTACCCTTGCTGTCTGTCCTTCCGTCCCAGGTGGAGTATGGCCCTTGTGTGGTGGCTAGTGACTGCTGGAGCCTCCTGCTTGAGTTCCTACAGAGCTTTTTAGGCAGCCACACACCGGGGCCCCCACAGTATTTGGGAGTAGACACGATGCTGTGTATGGGCCAGCAGATACCATGATACAGTACATGGAACTCTTCAACAAGATCCGAAAACAGCAGCAGGTGCCAGTGGCGGGAATTCGTTAGTGATTGGCCGCTGCCCACCTTCTGAGCGGTCACCAGAGTACTGCCCAGGAGGAGCAGGTGCCGTACACAGGGCCCTGGGGCCCTGGACTCTCCCTGACCCCGTCACAGCTGTTTTTTACTTCATGCCTTAACTGGATGTGGCTTGTCCTCAAGAATGGAAATTGTGAAGAATGGAGAGGTGTGGGCTTTCCTGCTGTAGGGTAAAGGTACGACAGGCTTGCCCCTGCCAGCCCTGAAGGTGAAAATGGTCTGTGTCCCCGGTCCTAAGGATCTGGTATAGCCCGCAGTGGCCACACGGTGCAGTGTGGCTGTGCCGGGTGGAGTCCCCTTTAGCTTGAGGATGTGGCTGGCCTCTTCTGGAGATGGTTGGGTGACGTGACTGGATTGCTCTCCATGTCTGCCCTGTTGGCTGCAGTGATCTGAGAACCAAGTCAGTTGGAGTGTTGCTTTCATCCTTTGAACGCTGATGGTTTCCCTTTCTGCTTTGATTGTGTGAACTCATAGGCTAAGGGTTCTTACTGCACATTTTACTTCTTACCTAATAGTTTAGAGGCTATCAGTTCCTCAGGGCGGAATTAACTCTAGGGTTAGCACAAACTAGGCCTCTCATGTCTGTTCGGTTGCCCCAGTGATGTGGTTCTGACCACAGGGTGTTAAGCACACTCGTTGGCTCCACATTCACATCCACTGAGCAGAGAGGGGGTTGCTCAATCACTGCAGGCATGCTATCCTGACTCTCAACACTCGGTCTGTTTAGTTTTCTGCACCATGCCTCACAAGTGGTCTTCTCGTCACGGTTGAGCCTTGGAGTCACTCGTTGATACCATTGCTTACCTGCCTCACACCTGCTACGGAAACAGTGAACCAGGCCAGCATTTGAGATCTACATAGATAGGCTTGAGGAAATTGCTAATATACCAAGTGTAGTGTGTCACCGAGGACTCTGTCCTCAGTGGACAGCTAAGCAGACTTTCTGGAGCATGTTTCTACAGCAGCTGGGATATGCTGCTCATGTTTACCCTAGCGATGGCTGCCAGGAAAGCTCAGTATACCTTCCTGGCTGGAGAATCTGTTGTCCACATTGTTCACTGTTACTTCCCTTTGCTTTTGTTGTTAATGTTTGTTTATTTTTGCACTTTAAAAATTGAGGTATGTTTTAGATATCACAATAAAATCTACAAATATATTTTGGCCTTCTGTTCCATATTTGGTCTTATTTCAGTCTATCTACTTTGTACTTTCTATAGGTTGCCTCCTATCTTTTGTGGATGAGACAGTGAGCAGGCAGAATTTTGAACATATGTGTTCCTAAAAACACTGAAGTTAAATGCGGTAAACATGGACTCTAGGCTCCTATATAAGAAGCGGCTCAGTTCCTAAAAGATAAAGAGAAGCATGCACAGGCAATGTCTTGTTAGTTGTAGTTGGCTTCCTTGCACATTTCCAATATTATTCATTTTAGTGGTTTTCTTTTTTGAAGATTTTAAGTGTGTGTGTGTGTGTGTGTGTGTGTGTGTGTGTGTGTTGTGTGTGTGGTGTGCATGTAAGTACAGTGCTTGAGGAAGCCAGAAAGAGGGCATTGGATCCCCTGGAGCTGGAGTTACAAACAATTGTGAGCCTTTTGACATTCCTCTAGAAGTAGACACTTAATTCCTGAGCCATAGACTCTTTTTTGGTTTTTCGAGACAGTTTCTCCGTGGTTTTGGAGGCTGTCCGGGAATTTGCTCTTGTAGACCAGGCTGGTCTCAAACTCACAGAGACCTGCCTCCCCCCCTCCAACCTCCCCATGCTGGGAATAAAGTCGTGCGCCACCAACACCCAGCACATAGACTCATTTTTAAGGGTAACTTAAATTATACTGAACTTTCTTTGGAGTCCATTCAAAAGAGAATTTAGCCCAGCACACCTTAAATCCCATCATTCAGGAGGCAGAGACAGGAGGAGCTCTGAGTTTGTGGCTAGCCTGGTCTACATAGTGAGCTCTAGTACATCCAGGACTACATAGACACTGTCTTAAAAAAAAAAAAAAATAACAGTAAGAAAGAGACTTTAAGGCCTGCAAGGTGGCTTGGCAGGTAAAGGTACTTGCCACTCAGCCAAGTGATCGAGCTCAGTCCAAGTGAGGTGGAAAGGGGGCCGGCTGGGCAAAAATGCTGACTTCACCAGGCACAGCGGCCATGTGTGTACTTAACTCCCCGTATGCACACTCGAGAGCGTGCATGTGCACACACACAGCGAGTGCTTTAAAAGGGAAATTGCCTAGGTTGTCCTGGAGCTGAATTTAACAGTGGGAATCTTGTATGGGAAAGGCAAGGCTGGGGTGGTGACAGGTGCGCAGGGGCTGCCAGTTGAAGGGATGAGAACGCTGGTTTAGGAGCTAGCTACAGTACTGGGCACACACATGTTGCTGTGAGGGGGCAATGTCTGAGAATTATTTTTCCTCCATGTAGTCCCTGAATCAAATCCAGATTGCTAGGCTTGGTGGTGTTTCATAGGCTGAACCATCTTACCAGCACCAACCTTAAATCGTGTGTGTGTGTGTGTGTGTGTGTGTGTGTGTGTGTGTGTGTGTGTTGTTTACTGTGTGGAGGTCAGAGGACAACTGGCAGAAACCTGTGCTCTTCTACCATGTGCACCCAGGGAGGGACCTGAAAAGGCAGGCTTAGCCTCAAGTGCGTTTACCCACTGGGCCATCATGCCTTTTTATCATCAGTGCAAATGGCATTCCCACAACAAAGACCGACTCCTTTCAATATTATTTTAAAACTAACTTGGGTCTCAGGGAAGCTCTGAAAGGATCTTAAGAATCTGTGCGTCCCCTGTGGCACAGACTCTGGGAACCACAGGTGTAATGTGTGCATACAGTTTCCCTCCTAGCTCTACTGAGCGCACGACTTCCGCAATTAGTGGCTTCCAGACGCCTCACTCAGAAAAGCACCTTGATAAGAACACTGAATAAGATACTAAACTGTCTTCTCCAAGACAGTTGTTGGGAGCTGGGGAAACAGGGGGAAACAGCTTTACAGTTTTTATTATTATATTCACTTAAGGTAAGGAGTTACAACTTAGAATTCCATAAAGAGAACTATTAAAGTTAACATGGCCTCCACCATGGGAACTGAACCCTCAGCTCCCTCCCAGGAGGCGCTCTCCTCCTGTGCTACATTCTAGTCATGGACTTGTTGAATTTACCATGCAGTCTATAGAGTCTTACTAACTCAATGCCGTCTTCCTGCCTCTGCCTCTTGATTGCTTTGATTACCGCGATCGGCTTTATTTTTTAATCTTGCCGGTTTTGCTTCTTTACTTCATATTTACAGATGTCAAGCCTTGAACCACCGTAGCACATAAATGTACATTTATTTCTTTTTATTTTTCTTAAACTTATAATGGCGTTACCCGCCTTAGCCTTGTCGTGGGCGTTGTCACACTGTTTATCTTATTTGGAGGGATCCTCCCCCGCAAGGTCTGTCAGGACAGTGTGCCCATGAAGCTTTCCTACCTTGCAAGCGAGTCTTTCCTTTCTGTTTCAGAATGGACTTCATCCTTCTCGGAAGTCCTTAGGGCCACTGTCACCTCGGTCTGATTTATTTCCCAGTCCCCATTTGGATTTTCACAAAACAGCTGAATCCCGCGTGGGTCATCAGTGGCAAAAGTCCACACACGTGTGCTTGTCTGGGTGCCAAGAGTAACTAACTTGCAAACGCTGCCTTAAGAAACTCCTGGCTGCCGCTGCTCCGTAAAGAAAATACCAAACCCCCAAAACAAGCAGAGTGGGAAAGGCCTCCTCGGAGCGGTGAGCCACAGTGAGGTAAGCTTCAGAGTAAGCGGAACCCGCGCTGAATTCCTTTACAAATCCCAGGGAAGGGGTGGTGGTCTCGGGAGAGTGCCTGGCCCTTTAAGGAGGAGGGCCAGACACTAGACTCTGCACCTTTAAGAGTCTCTTTGTCTAGAAATCTTCTGTACCCTCCTGTGCCTCAACCGAACTTTGCCGGCGACTCTCCCGCGCTACTCCGCGCCCGCCCTCTCCCGCCGGCCGGCCGTCGGTCGCGCGGCCGCGGCTGTCCCGAAACTCGGTGCCCGCGGCGCGAACCCGCGGAGAGGGCGCCGGGGCCAGGGGTCGCGGCCGGGAGGCGCGCCGTTGGCGCAATGCGGGGTCCTGGGGGCGGGGCTCCGGCAGGCGGGCCAATGGGCGGCAGGGGGCGGGGCCGCCCGCTGGTCTCCGCGCCCTGGTGACAGCTCGCGCGTGCTGATGATGGCGGTAAATAGAGGGGGGCTGGGGAGGGGGCGGAGGGCCGGCGGAGCGCCGAGGGGGCGGCCCGGGGGGCGTGGGGGGCCGGGGGCTGGAGCCCGCGCGGACATTCGGAGGCGGGGACACCGCGGCCCCGGCGCGCCGGCCCTCCCCCTTTCACCCGAGAGAAAAACCCCCGCACACACCGGGTGAGGGGCGACAAAGGCGGCGCGCGCCTGGCGGGCGGGAGGAGCGGCGGCAGGGGGCGGGACCGCGACGCCGGCGGGCCTGGGGCGCCCGGGGCGGGGACGACGGGCGGCGACAGCGAAGGCGCGAGCCCCGGCCGGCCGGCGCGCGGGCGCTGCGCGTTTTGGCGGGGTGGGCGACGTCTGGGTTCTGAGGTGAAAGCCTTGAGGGGAGAGAGGGGAAGGCAGGCTGCGGGGAGGGAGGGGGGCGGCTGCGGAGTTGGAGATGAGCAGGGTTAGGAGAAAGGGTTAGAAGCCGGCGGACGCAGGCTGGCCCCGGGATGAGCTTAGGAAGCCCGGGGCTGGGAAGAGGGATCCGGGGTCAGGGCTAGGAGCAGGGGTCGGAAGAGGCAAGGCTTGGCAGGTGGGCGGTGTTGGGGTGAGGGCTACCGAGGGCAGAAGAGTTGCAAGTGGAAGACAAGGAGCAGAACCGCGTAATAGTTGGGAGTAGGAGAGAGAGTGATTAAGAGCCAGACGTGACAAGGGTGTGAACTAGTGCGGAGCCAGGGATGAGCTGAGGGGCTGGGATCCGCTGGGGTGGGATCCACAGGGTGTAGGTCAATTGCTGGATGATGGGTGTAAATTCTGCAAAGTGAGGGAGACAGGAGACCTGGATTACAACCAGGTGGAGTCGGAAATCGGAGCGTTAGTGGGAGGACGAAAGGAAAGCCAGCGTAGAGCTGGGCGTTAATAGGACAGTTGTGGGAGAAAAGGAAGCTGAAAGGGCGCTGCGAGAGAGTGTCAGGAATCACAGTGCTCTGGGACGGAAACGGGGATTGTTTAGTGAAGAGGTCCAGCAAGGTAAAGGTAGATAGCAGAGTGCAAAGACGGGCTGAAAAGCAGCCTGGGAAGATGGGCAGGGAAGAGGTGGGCCCTGGAATTTCAAGGATGGAACGGGAAGTAAGGGAAGGGAACCGAGTGTAAAGGAAGCTGGGAGAGTCCTGATGGGGGTAGAACCGTGGTGGGCCGCACAGGAGTGGGAACCGAACGTGCATTTTGCCAACCGAGGTGCCCCGGAAGGTCTGGAAGGGGGCAGGGCACAGGTGGTATAGTGAAGAATCCAGAGTAGAGGCCTTTGATGCAGAAGATAAGGATCATGGTGAGTGAAAGGGCCCCTGGACACAAGGGTAGAACCTGCAGAGTAGGGGCCCAGGTCGGGGTGCAGCAGAGCAGTTCTTTGTTAGGAGAAATGTGTATTGCATTTGTGAGTTCTTTTGTCCCTAAAAGTAGGAAATTCCAGAAACCTTTTTCTCTCTTCAAGGAGTCTTGGATCCCGATTCCATCTTTCATTGCTAGAAAATTCACTTTCATGTCCCCTTAGAAGAGATGAGATCCGTTTTTACTTGATTTTGTTCTTGTGTAGTAGAAAAAGTGGCAGCGTTAGGGGCCTAGAGACCATTGATTTCACTGGTGTGCTAAAGGGTAAAAGAGTTGTGTTTGTTTAGTAAGTGCCTGTGTGCTGTGATAGTTTGGGTGGGTCCTGTAGGACTTTTGTACCTGACGAGTGCCGGGCAGGGTGTCTAATGACAGCATTTTCTCATCTATTAACCAGTTTGAGTGCACCACTGGGGCAGAGAAAGATAAGACTCTTTTTGTTTTTACTAATCAGCCAGATTTCTGCTTCATTATTTTCAGGGACTGAAGGATAAGGAGAGACCATTCAGAAAAAGGTGAATAGCCAGCCAGGGAAGTTTCCTGAGGGGGAGTTT